TAAAAATAAGGTTAAGGGCTCATGCTTTATCTTTAGGTAATAGAAGCAGACTTTATACAATTTGTTTTCAAGGCCATAAAGTTTCCTTTGAATTGTGCTTGACTCCTGGTGATTTCACGTCCATGTATTTTTCCTGGCAACAGTACAGAAGTGATTTGTCATTGATTTCTTCAAGGAAGTGCTTTTTTTTTTTTTAACTTCTCAGTCTCGTCTCTTTTTTTAACTCCTACCACCTTGGTATTCCCTGGTAGTCTCCCATCCAAATATTAACCATGCCTGAGTCTGCTTAACTTCCCAACTGGATTGAAAGCAAGGTTTCCTGTTCTGGTTATCTTTAAAAGTAAAGGAGTTCAGCATATTTGATGAAGAGGTAAATAATAATAATAGCAGCAGCAGGAACAGCAATAATAGTACCAACAACAACCCTGGAAGCACTTTTGAGCAAAGCAAAACATATTTGCCATACATTTTGAAACAATGTGATAATTAGAATTTTAAAAGTAGTTGGTGGGTGCAGAGAAAAATGCTTATCAGTTTTAGCTACATTCTGGTGCAAGTATTCACTGAGGGTCTTTTGCAGATGATCCCTTCAGACCAGTTTTAGAATTTAGCACTTACAGCACACACAGAAAACTCCTACTATAGATATCTTTCAAAACTATTCAAGAGAGAGAGGAAAAATCAGAATACTAATAACCTGAAAAAGATTGTAGCCAAGCATTGATTCGTTTTGGATTTGAACAGGAAAACAAACTCAGAAATAGATCCAATGTCCCTGGACAACTCAGAGGAGTCTTCCAACTCCTCACTGAGACCAAGAAGAATGGCTTCACCAGGCACCATACATATTATTATTTAAATATGTTATATCTATTGCAGTCAATTCAATTCTCGTTATTCACGGTAATTACATTCTATAAAGTCACCACAAACACTGAATTAGCAAATACTGGAATCTCCGCTGGGAATGTGCACATCAGTGACAGCTCTTTGAGGTAATCCAGACAAGAAGCACCAACCATGAGTACCAACTCTGCCTTTATGGCAAGGCTAGAGTAACAGAATCTTGCAAGTCTGAGAGTAACCCTCCTGTCCCTCACTTTTACTCTCCCCAAAACTAGGGAGGGTCCTTTCTGAGATGCTTTCTTCACCCCCACCCTTCCTTTAGACTCAAATTTAGTTTATCAGACCATTGTCTAGGCTATGGCTCTTCCTCCTGTCTCCCAAGGTCCTTCCCATATACCACTACAATCAGGCACCTCAAGTTTTTCGCCATCCTACATGTCCATGAATGACCATGAAAGCACCACAAGTATTGATTTTGCAGTTACAAATCAATGTTAGCGAGTAGGTGAATTTGCAAATACGGAATCCACAAATAACGAGAACTGACTGTATATAGCAAGGATACCAGTCCAAATGGCTGTTAAACAGCTAAGTGGGCTTTCTTTGGTTTCCTGTGTCATTTTGTGGTGGAAGGATAGGATTTAGAGTACAATGCAAGCATGATCTTTCTCATACCCAGGAGAACCAACCTGCAATCAAGGATCATGCTTTTGACTACAGGATAGGCATAGCCAGATTTATGTCATATTGACTGGATGGGTACAAAGAAAGGGAAGTTTTGTTCTACAAAGCTCTCCTTGACTGCTGTATTCTTCTGTCCTGTACCTAGAGCAAGAATGAATGTGTTGCTCATTTAAAGGAGCTCAGTGCACTCAGTTATCAAATTTTCCTTCTTCAAATGGAAGTCCTCTGTAATAATACTGTAAACCTATTCCAGGAATTTTCTGGTCATGGGTACATAACCTTCTCATCTAACTCCATAAGCATGAAAATCCTTTTCTCTCAGTTGCATTTCTTTCTTAGGGGCTTGCATTTTCAGAAATACCATAGGGATTTCATTTTGGAATGGTTGAATAGAGATGTTCACCAGAGGGCTCAGCTGCCCTCCAAATAATTTACCCAGCCTGCAACACTTTGAAGATGCTGAGTATGGTACCTAGGAGGGTGTAGAGGGCCGGCTGAGCTGTCAGCAGCACTCCAGGAAGAGAAACAGCCTGGCAGGAACACTTCACAACTCAGCCTGAGTGGTGAGTCTCCTGGCCACAGCAGGGCCTGGTTGGCTGGGTCATCTAGGCAGTGCCCCAAGGCCTCTCACAACGAATTGTGCTGCCCCCAGGAACTCCTGCCTGCTCTCTTATGCCATGTTGGGTCCTGTTTCCGAGAGTTGGCCTGGCAAGACTGTCTGGAACTGTCTGGTGTGTCTACCCCATCATGAGGGTATGAAAGGAGTGGGAAGGACCAAGAGCAAGCAAGATCTCTCTGCTTTGCAAATGAAGGATGATCCCAACCCAGCAGGGACAGAGAAGGAAAGGCACACGAGATAAAGACCAAAGGAAAGAAAGTAGAGGAAAGGAAAAGAAAAGCAAGATGCAGGCAGTTATTAGTGAAACAGGTTTTTTAGACTACATCATTCCAGATATGATTCTGCAAAAATATTACATGCCAACCTATAAAATAAAATCAAATATTAATATTCTGATCAGTGAAAAGTGGCTAAAGTAAAATTGCTCAATGTCACAGCATCCCTTTGCAAGGTAGCTGTTTCTTAGTAATTTTTATTTAATAAATGTAATAGAATACCACTATCCTCTTGACACTTGAGTTACTAATGACTTCTGTTATCAGTGTATGAAAAGTCTTCAGTGTTGTAGTCCTCATGGGGCACTCACAATTCTTTCCAGTTCCTGATATTTTGACCTCCTTAAATAGTCTTGTATACGTAAGAGTCTTGCTAACATTAATCCTCCATTCTTGATCCCAAACTTTAGATATTTCTGGTTGCTCTAGAAGGCAGTGCTAATCTTTTATATTAAATAAGCAACTGTTGGTTTCTGAGCTAGAGTTAGAAAATACAGAAAAATTCTACTAACCTTCTTATGGAGGATTATTTCAATTACGATAGTGTTAGGTACTTTCACTGTCCTTTAAAAATTTAGCTACAGTAGCTTAAGCCAGGAGGAAAAAGAGACAGCTCAACTTTTGCTTAGATGTTGGTCCTCTATTCAAAGGGAGCTGGCTCCCTCTGCTGACCAAGATTGCTTCTAAAGCGTTCACTCAATCTTGGATTCTACTTTTTGTGTCACTGTTGCCCCACTATATCTGTTATACATGATAAAGGCTGATAGGTTTGCAAGATGGAAATATTTTATACAGTCTGGCCAGATGTACCTTCCTACACTTCCTGGTTTTAATTCAGTCGTGTATTATTTTCTAGCCTAATGTCTGTTCAGGAGCATATGACTATGTTCATGCGCCATGGGTCAGTTAACACAATGTTACAGCTTTGCTTGATATACTAAACCATCAGTAGATTGAAATGCAGTTGAGTAGTTTATGGCTCAATATATTGCACTCTTTCAGCCTAAGGCGAGGCTCATGCAACACATTGTCATAATGCCTTATGGCCTAGTATGTTAGGCAAACCCTGCCAATTCTGGTTTATTCAGTAAGTAAACTATATGTTGCATGGACAGAACTGAAGACTTATTAAGACCAATAAGGTCTAATGCAGTCAGAGTTCTATTATTTTACCTGCACATGTTGGACTGACTCCAACTCAATGTTCCAAAAGGAGATTATTTCTACAGCTGCTTTTGGATGGGCATTTTTGCAATTACTATTTAGAACAACATAGCCAGTGTCAGTTTGCAACTTTGATATTTTGTGTAAAAGCAGCAGATAATTTCAGCTGCCACTACGGCCAGTAAACCTGTACCAGCTAAATATGCTGATCGCTTTTACATAGAGACAGCAGATTCCCAATAAGGGATTTAACTTGATCCATGTTATGGTTACTTTACTCTTTCTACTACTCAGGCCTGACATCAACACAAGGTTTCAACAGAATACCACTTTACATTTCTAAGGAGCAGAAACAAATTGAAATTCACAGTACTAGACTTGCTTGCAGATTATGCTAAGCCATGTTATGACTTAGCAGGAGGATGATCATACATCCCACACATCCAGTTTGCCTGGAAAGTCCTAGTTTACTCCTGTTGTCCTGGCGCCGTCTCCAGTTTAGCATTTGTCCTGGACTTTTTAAAATTAAGCTTTATTAATAGTCGTTACTCGTGGAGCAAAGCCAGTGCTACAAGTCCTGCATTTTGTCTTCCTTTTTTAACCTGCATAGGTATGGGCAAGACGAGCCCTGAGCACCCTTTCCCTACTTTACCTTCCTTGTGATGTCTTGGTCAGCCGCTGTCTTCTTCCCTGCTACACCATGAACTCCTGAGCCATTGATCCTAGCTAGTTTTTCACATTTCAGCACAAAAGACCCTGTTTGTATAACAAATTATATGGTCACTCTACTTAGCGGTGACCATGCAAATTAACAGGTACGGCTAACCAACCTGTACAGTACATTGCACAATCCAAGGACGTGCTTTCTCTGGCTTGGATCTTGTTCGCAGGCCACCCTAAACAAACCATGCATGGAAAAATCCATAGTTAATCATCCCATTTGCAGAGGAACGAAGATGCAAATCTGCTTGTCTGTGATTAAGTTTTCATATGGTTTAAGATTACACGCTAACATGGTAATTGGCATGGGATAGCCTTAGATCTAGAAGGGCATCTTAATGGGAGTGAAGTTATCTGCCTTCCCCAAACACTAGGCAAGCAGTTCACATAACTGGACAGCAGGCTGGCTAAGCTTCAGTTGTTGCTGAGCTGCTAGAACAGCCTACATACCAGGACCTTGAACATCCAAAGGAGGAAACAGGCAAGTCAGGGGGCTGGCTTATGCAATACTAAAATGTGGTTTGCATATTTGTGAGTAAGCATATGATGTGACCCAACCATCTGTAGCTTTTCCAGTAAACCATAGTTAAACAAACTTCACCTCTGCATTTTACTATGAATACAGCCATGAAAGCTTTTTGGCAATGGGAAATTCTTCCTTAGCTCTTTACTGAGGAACAAGCAAAAGAAGCTGTCATTACCAATCAGTTGGACACTGACTGACAGGGTATTTTTATTCTATAAACCGTTAGAAGGAAATTACACAGTGATTAATTCAGAAGTAGCACACTTTTGGCACTGCAGTACTGTGCACTATACAATTTAGGTATCCACACTGTTAGTGAAGCATATTTCCATTCAGGCAGGAGTTCATTGCATTCCATATTTGTCCTTCAGCTCATTAACTTTTGCTATATAGGCTTTCATTGCATCTTCTTTCGACATACCTGAAAAGAAAAAGATTTTGCTGGGTGAGCAAAAATATAGTATGAAATTACTGACAATTCCTGTTTATTTTCTACCCCAATTTCTCCCTTCTGTGTCAAGCTTAAAGTGTACTAAGGCAGCCTAATTTGGGAGTTGTTGTGTAAGTAATGGCTCCAGTGTGCCAATTTGTTGCATAAAGATAGTGACTTTATTCTTTATGCCTATGAAGAAACAACAATGGCCACTTCTGTGTAATTTCAGGTTACAGAAGAAGATTGACAAAACCTGTTGTGAAAGTTTGGATCTGAATGTACTCCACTTCATGCCTATCACTGCATCCTTTGACAACAGAACTTCTTTCTGTCCACAAAGTGACAATACTAGATATTGGATGAGCGAGGGTTTGGGGTTCCCCCCACGGAAACTATGGACTTAATAAGAACAAGGCAGAAAGAACTAATACTGTAAAGTCAGTGATATTTACTTTACAGATTAAGTGATATCAATAATAAGTGTATGAATATAGTTTAAATAACCAGGATGCATGCTATTTTCCTTTATGAGAAATCATCAAGATCAAAAGACCGTTTGATGGCTTCCAGAAGTGTGGCAATTAAAAGCTCCCTGCAAAGCCTCCATCTTTTTACCCCTGTAAACTTCCAGGGGAAAAAAGTTCAATAGTCAATTAAAAGAATAGTAAGTATACTAACATGCTATCTTTTGCTGAACACTGTGCATTTAACAGGACTCCTGCTCCTAGCTTAAGGCCTTGCGGTTAATGACGTTGAGACCTGATTTAAAGCCATAACTTTCAGTAGACGACAACCAACGCATCTCATCAGTTCAGTTTACCTGGGAATCCTGATCAACTAACCAAATTTTCAGACTCTTATGATTTTCAAGCTATAGAAGCCTAGGTGACTTTCATGTAGAACCGTCAATATTCAAATAAGACTCTGCCCAGAGAGCAACATCGGCTAATGTAAGGGATTTCTTATCCTTCCACTTCTTCGAGAATTTTAGATTGGCACTGAATGTCCATGACTCCCTTGTGCAAATGAAGCATGCGTAAAGAGTTAACTGCCTTTAATACCACCAACAAATCACCTGTAAGAACATTTGCAGGCTAAAGATTTGGCTGGGATGGCACTTTTAGGTTTCGAGTCACATCTGTTACTTCATTTGTCTTTGCCAAGGCCTACCTTTTAAAGCACTCCAGGCATCCCACTTGGCTTTGCCTTTGAAATCAAGCATTCCAGGGCGTTCTGAAACAGAACATTTTCACATGGCTCTTAGGTGTGCGTGTAGGACAAATCACAGCTTTGAGGAGAGTTCACATGAAGAAAGTAAATTTCGTTAACTTTACAGGCTATGCAAGAAGGATGAGCAGAAAAAGTTATTTAAAAAAAAAAATCTGGAATCAGGCAGTTTTGAAATAGAAATGCAAGGCTTTCCTGGTCTATTTTGTATGCTAAATTAAGTGCTTATAAATTTAGTCTTGCTTACTGAGAGACTGAAAATACATTTTTAAAAAAACAGACAGTAATGACTAGCCACAACATTTTAAGTGTTTGATTGCAGGAGGGTGGACAAGATCTTGCGGTGTGCTGAAAAAATTCTAACTGTTCTAACTTAAATTATCATCCTGGCAGTGTGGGACAATTATTTAGCGATCCATGACTTTGCTACTGATAACTGTAGTCTTTTTCTGCCCAATCAACAGAGTGTAGTTGTTGCTAGGTCAAAGTACCCTACAGCGTATCTGCTAATTATGGCTAACAGCACTTATGTCAAACAGTTTTCCTATACAGCCTGAAAGCCAGCTACCATTCATCAGTATCTGAAGCTGAGCATGACCTCCACTACAATGGAGACCTTGACATACATATGAACAAGCTCTGTTTGCATCATTCAGTTCAGCATGTACGCTCCTGCATAAGTAAGATTCCTCTGCTGCACATTAGGACACAAGGATTTGAAAACATGCTCTATATTGCATTCAAAAGTACACTTTGTGAAATGGTTTTTAAATTCATCTTTAAAAACTAACTTTTACCTCCACAAGAAACCACTTGCTTTTCATACTCAAGTATTCCACTTATAACTTTGTTCTTGAACTTTCCAGAGTAACATTGGTAACAACCAGCTGTTCACCTCTGGATCACTACTACATATTTTAGTTGTTCATTAGTCCTGTTTAGTCTAGCCTTTATTAACCTGTAGGAGAGACTCACCTGAACGGGCCACCCAATTTCAGAAGCTTTCCAGGCACACAAAGAAGGATTTTTGTATCACAAGCTACAGGGAAACAATCCTTTAAGGCTGGCATTTGGCCACTTCTGGCTCTGTTTAGGAAAAGACACATGGCTTACCTCTTCAACTAGGTTTTCTGAATGTTTATAACAGGATTTTGTGAATTTTAAGTTTATGTTAATGACTGTACTTTGAGTTTCTGTCTGTACACTGCATGTAGCTCCTGGTTGACAGGATGCTGACAACGGTATGTTGGCTTGTAAGGTAGTCTCTAGATTAAAGGTCCTAGTTTGCACTGAATAACATGAGCATGCTTGGGGTAAAATTGGGCTTTGGGTGTAGTTATGGCCTACTGGCCAAAGTATACCAATGCTGACCAATAGTGTATCCCAAAGGTCAATATCCATGAGGCCACCTGGTGACACAAGATTCACTTAACTTCCTGTTCTCTTATCTCCTCCCTCTAATTTATTTTGCTCAATGCTTCCTACTTTTTTTACATTTTACAGAGTGTTGTTTATCCCAAAGTATGATAGGTATGTATGTACATACATAGCATTAATTATTTGCTTTATTTTATATCTGCTTGTCTCCTTTATCATTCCAATAGATGGAACAACAAGATGTAAAACAAATAAATGCATGAAGACATATCCTCAATTTTTTATTTATTTTTTTTGGTATTTGGTTCTAATAAGTAGCTCCTTTATTAATGAAACATAGAAACAGATTCCATTCTGAAAATATTCACACTAGAGTTCCATTTTCTTTTAGGTAAGAGATTATGCTCTTTATTATATATTACTTGTAATTATTATACAGGTAGTCCTTGATGTACAACCATTCATTTAACAACAGTTTGAAGTTATGACGCCACTGAAAGAAGTGTCTTACAACTGGTCCCTGCACTTACGACTGTTGCAGCGTCCCCACAATAACCTGATCAAAATTTGGGCACTTGACCCCTGGCATGTATTTACGACAGTTGCAGCATCCTGCGGTCACATGATTGCCATCTGCGACCTTCCCAGGGAGCTTCCGACAAGTCAATGGGGGAAGCAGGATTTGCTTAACAATTGTGCAATTCGCTTAATGACTGCAGCAAAAAAGGTTGTAAAATCAGGCACGACTCACTTAATGACCGCATCATTTAGCAATGGAAGTTCTGGTCCCAGTTATGGTAATAAGTTAAGGACTACCTGTACAAGTAATTGCAATGTTGATTGCAATTTCAAGAATTCAAGTAAGCTGACCTACAGTCCTGGGAACCTTAGAGCCATTGTGAAGACAAAAGATGGCACCTATGTTCTGGAGAACTTCAGTGGAACTCTGACGATGTTTGCATGTTTACACTGAGCAGAAAAACTTGAGCAATGAGAATGCAGAGTGCCACTTTTAACTCTTCACCGTGCTTGCTTTATCCAAGACTCTAGACTCACTGTGTTGTTTGAACTCAAAATGAATAGTCTCTTAGATTCCTGGTTAACCTCAACAGTGTATTCATCGATACACCTAAGGTAAAATATCCAAGTGAAAGGGATCTAAGATGGCACCCATTCTTACCTGAAGATAAGAATCTGAGTCTGAAACCTTGGTAGAATTAAGCATGTGGATGGTTGAAAATAGCGCTGTGTACATTCATACAACCTAAACGTTTCCGTTTAGCATGTTGATCTGTGAACATGGTCACTGACTGGCTCTCAGTGAATGGTGTGTGCCTTTGCCCAGTGAGATGGTTATCTGAGCAGAGCAGCCTCTCTTTCATTGACAATCTGCAAATTTTGGGGGGGGCACTATTTGTTCCAGTTGGGTCACAGGAACAAAGGAAACAGGGTTTTTCTACCTATCTCCCATGAAATATATTTTGGAGACCCATTCCATGCCTAAACTTTTGGCCTAAGTACAAAAGCAATGTGGTTCAACAAATCTACCACTTTAATTCTCGAAGTTGGCAATGAGACTGTCTGAAAAAAATCCTCTGCTTGCAAGGAAGAATGGATGACCTTGAGCTTGAGTTGGCAGCACCAACCTGAGAAAAACTGAGCTACTGTCCCTTGCTTCCCCAGCAGAGACACCAACATTACCCAGCCAAGAGTTTCACATTCTCTTCAAATGTCCAACAGTATCAGTACTGTTGCAACTGTATTAGGAGAGAGGCTTCCGTGTCTCCTTTTTTTGATATCCAAGTTGCCCCTATGCTTCCTTTCTTATGAGTTACAGAAACAACAAAATTATTTGAAACTATAAGAAACATCTAAGTACAAAATAGGAACAGTATTTCAAATAACCCTAAAGTTTGGGTAATCACTGAATAGGCCAAATCTTTAAGTAGGTTACTAGATAATAGTAGGTGGTGACTGAAACGGTTTATGATGTAATGAGAAAGAATTGCCTCCAGGCTTAATTCTCATGATTAACACAAGTGTATTCTCATGATTCTTTAAATAGGACTATTAGACTACCACGTGCAAAGACTTACCTTTCTCACACAGGAGATCTTGAAGCAGAGGCAGGGAATCTGGTACTATTTACATAAATCAGACCACAACTAACACAATCACCTGCCATTGGCTATGTTGATTGAGGAAGATGGCTCATGAAGGCCAAGAAATCTGGAGCTCACTAGGTTGCTTATTCCAGTTTAAAGGTTTTATGAAACAGATGCTTATGGCTCATTTAACTTAACTTGTTTTATTAATAACCTCTCCATAACATATAATTAACCAGGTCTGTATTAGAAACCTTAGTTAAGTATAAGGTATTAATTCCTACCTTTGATTATCTACCTTGCTTGGAACATGAATCCTCCCAAGGATCAAAAGATACTAAGTCTGAGTGTAGAATATTTCTTAAGGCACTAACCACAAGGGCCGCCATACTTGGTCTCTATTGCTTTCTGAGGATTAGCTAAAATGAGTAGACCAAGAACGCTAAGATTTATTGTAGTATCACACTGTTTGCAGCCTCCAATGGAGAGAAGCACATTGGCCAGAAAATTCTGGAAGCTGTTGTCCCAGGACATCTTAAAGAGGGGGATGGCTACCCTTAACACTACAAGCACTGTGTCAAAGAACCACTGCAACAGCTGTGACCAGAAATGTTACAGCAACATTTTGGTGTCATGATTAAGGTGCTGGACTAGAAACCTAGAGTCCATGAGTTCTAGTCCCCCTTTGGGATGAAAGCCAGCTGGGTGATGCTGGGCTAGTCACTCTCTCTTAACCCAATCTCCTTCACAGGGTTGTTGTTGTGGGGAAAATAAGAGCCTGGAACATTATGTATGCCACCCTGAGTTGTACAAAATAAAGGCAGGATGTAAATCTAGTGTTGGGAGGTTTAACATAAAATGAACCTATTTTAACAGGTATGTTATAGTTGTGACTATGCCATACGTGGTATAGTGGCTGGCATGTTGGACTAGGGAGAAGCAAGTTCAAGTCCCTGCTTGATCAAAGATAGTTCAAGGTCTTAGAGACAAGATGGGACATAAACACAATTTAAATATATTTCTGGGAATATATTTTACCAAGAAATTTTAACATTCCAGGGACTTATGAGCCACTGAGGGTTCATGCCATATATTGAGAGTTAATTATGCTTTTAGGACTCTCTGGAATAATGATCTTATAGGCATATTAAAGTGGTGTTTGCCTGTAGCTTAACTCTGACCAAATGAGAAGTTCTCAATCTGGAAGTCAAGCTGAAGTATTGGCAAAACTATCATGAATATAACCTATTATGTATTCACTTTAAAATTTAAGAGTGTATAGCTAAATGAACCAGATCTTGACTTCAGTCCAATATTCATTTGTATTTTTAGCATATAGGATTTGTGGAAATAGTTCTGTTCACATCAATTCTGAAAAAGTTTTTGCTCAAGCAAGGAGGTTGGACTCCTAGATTTTATTCATTTATTTGAGATCCTGCAACCTTGTGCAGATATAGTCACTAGTTCTTACCTGTATTTACATCTCCAACTGTAGCTTGCTTGTAATGGCTGTAGATATCTAGCATTTCTGCATCTGTTGGCTGGGTCTTCAGTTTCTTAACTTCTTCAGCAGCTTTATCAAACTCTGCCTATTTCAGTAGTGGCAGCAAGAAAATATATTTACTGCTCCCATTGTTGAAAGCTGACAATTCTTAATTGTATATAACACAAGGATTGTAATTTTTAAAGTGTTCTTCAGTTTCACCTAATTACAGCACATTTAATGGAATGCAAGTTTCACTGAATTCAACTTGAATTATGGGATGCATGCATATAGGGCTCTAATTTCAACCTTTATACAGAGACACGAGTATTTAGTTGAACAAAGACTACAGAGATCAAAAGTGTGATACTGGTTGTGAAATGTTGTGAAATCAATTTCCAACACTTGGCAGCTGAGCAATTTTCAGAACTGTAATTGGGTCTCCTTCCTACGCTACACAATTTATGCATGGACTACAGTTTAAGAACAAGTTCTGTTCCCAAGGTCTGTCCTTAAGTCGAATTTACGTGCAAGCTGGAACAGTATTATTGTACAATGCTGTATAAGTAGTATTGTGTAAACGTGAATCATTGTATGTAACAATGTAACAAAATCTGAGTTGCACTGTATGCAATACGCTCCGTTCTTACTATGGGTCATCCTTAAACCGGGAGTTCTTAACCCGGGGACTACCTATTCATTCCTACAAATCACTTCCACTGAAAGTTGTCAAGTACGGTACCACCAGTAGTTACACTATCAAACTCCAACTGCTTCAGTGTTCAACTGTAGCCACAATTGTCAGTTGTTACACTGATGCACTGGAAATACAATACTTATTTCCCCCCTCCCCCACCCCGCAAGAAATCAGATGTTTTATTGTAGGCACTTTGAAGACACTTCAGCTGCCGACAAAAACTTAAGGTCTATCCCTGAACATGTTTTCTCAGAAGCCTCGTCGGTTGACCAAATATTTAAACAACATTACTCTTGCATTCACTGCAAATGGCCAATCACTGCCGAAAAAGCTTGCCAAGAAAACTGCAGGGACTAGTCCTGACGGCTTTGCTAGGGGAAGCCGCAAGCGATACAAAATGGAAGAATTAGTTGGACTATGAAGCTTAGCTCGGCGCGAATTCTCTGGTGACGAAAGGAAAGAAAGAAGGAGCGGGGGGGGGGGCGGAAAGCATGGCACGCACGTATTCCCTTCCCCCCATGCCAGACAAAAGACCGTCTGATTCAAAGGAGAGAGAAAGAAAGACGCTTTTGTCTATTCGGTACGGCGGGGTTTAGAACTCACCTGCGTCATGATGGCAAGATACCCCAGTGGTCTTCGGCAAGAACGAGGGTAAGACCGGAGCACCCCCAAACTACTGAGAGCGCGCTTCCCCTTTCTAGTGCCTTTGCAGCGCCACTATTTCACTCATCAGCCCAGTTAACGCCGACCAATCACAGGGGAAGGGCGGAGAATTCCGAGGATTCGTTCAATCGCGTTGCCCCGAAGGGTGGAATAAATGGTCGCCAGAGATCTAACTAACTTAAGAGGGGCGAATGAACCTCACGTCCGGTTGCGGAGGGTAGTTTGGGGACTCCCGCCGGAATAGGTCAAGGTCGGATAGAAGAGGACAAAATCCTGCCAGTCTGTTTCACCATGTTTCACTTCCCGACCTGTATATAAGTTTCTTCAATGAGATGTTCTGAGATTCCCATTTTTTTCTGAGCACATCCCACAGCTTGATGTGATTGACACAATCAAAGGCCTTTCTATAATCGATGAAGCTCATCGTGACTTTTTGGTATTCTTTGGCTTTCTCAGTTATCCAGTGTGCATTAGCAATAATGTCTTACGTTATCGGCCTTTTCTAAAGCCGGCTTGAACATGTGGCATCTCTTTTTCCATTTTGGGCTCTAATCTGCATTGGATGACCCTAAGCGTTATTTTGCTAGGATGTGAAATTAAGGATATTGTATGATAGTTTGCACACGCTATTAAGTCTCCTTTTTTTTGGTATTGGGATATAAACTGACCTCTTCCAATATGTTGGTTTTCTTCTTCTTTAGTTTAACTTGGAGTTGCACATGAGCAGTTTAAGGTCTGTTTCACAGTCAGCACCTGGCCATGTCTTTGATGCCATAATTGAGCTTCTCCACCTCCTTTTAGTAATAATATAGTCAGTGGCAAGGAAGAGGGGAATAATAAATAAATAATAAAAATAATGGAAAAGGAAAATAAATTATTTAATGCCAATTTCCAACTCTGTAACTTTTAGAGCATATTACTGGGGAGTCAGGTCCCTTTACCTAAAGTATAGAAAATGTCTCTAGAGAATTTCCTGTCAAGAAAGAATACATAGTGGAACTTTAGAATTGGAAGATTCTGGACAAAATAGGTGACAGCATTGATTTACTAATAGAAATCTCTGTTGCCCAGAGATTCCAAGTGATATAAAACCCACTGAAAAACTAAATTTGCTTTGATAAAGAAGATATCAGAGTAAATAAAACAGTGGACAAAAACTGCCAAAATAAAGCATAACAACTTAATGTAGATTTCTAGCTAAATGCCTATTCCACAGAAATCAGCAGAGTCTTTGAATCAAAGGACCCACTTGTCTCTCTGAATCCTCCCAGCTCCTTGTAGATCTGAAACCTTTTTTCATAGATTCCTGTTCCTTACTTTGATTCCCAGGATTATGCACTTTGAAATGCATTTTAGGTTGTGGTTTACCCGCACTTCCAATGAAGGCTGCCTAGTAAGGTCCTCATGAAGATGCAAACTTTGCCATTTCATTGGTCTGTTTTCAGGAATTCTTGTGTATTTCTCCCATTCTTGGTCCTCATAGAAAGTATTCTATGTGCTGCCACAAGGAACCTGAAATCTACTTGCTAAATAATTGAGTTCAGCCCTTTGATATGCCACTGGCATCTACCCAGGTCGGAGGAGAAATATAGAACTCCACGTGGCCGATCAGAAAATGGTGCGGAAATTACATCACGGATGCATAATGTCAGAATGCAAGCCGTATTTAACCAAGAGAAAATTCTCGCCTTCCTCTACATTATAACTTATGGGTTCTTTTTTGTGTGATTTGCTCTCTCTCCACAGTGTATAAAAATGCCCATAGTTGACAAGTGGAAGAAATTCTAGTATTTTAACAATACTGTGATCGCCCCCAGCAAGACAGCAATCCTGTCGTTTTCTGGTCCAGGTTTATTTCGAATCAAATAAATGATGCTAATAGAGGCAAATATGCATAGCTCAGGGCTGAACTGTGGAGTCCAAGCTCAGAGAAACTCAAATAAATGACTTTGGGGGATCACGAAACTTAGACTGTTGAGGTTGGAGAAACAGGTAAAGGGTGCAGTAGTGTAAGAAAGGTATTTCATTTTTGAGAATTCTCAGCCTTACTTTCAAATTTGAATATATTATTGGAGCGCTTTGCATGATTGTGGTAAAATGCTCTCTTGGCTGCATCCTACTTTGCAACCCACTCGGGAGAATAAGCATTTATAATAGCAATTTAAAAATATCCAGCTTTAAGGGACGAGTGGGGAAGAAACCTACCAGAATCACTTGGTGAGAAAGTTGAATTATTTTGGTAAGACATACTTTATTTTAAACAGGCATGTAACACTAATTTTTTGTTTAACAGAAATCTCGAAGTGGATTACAATAAAATCGGCATAGATACAAGATGCGTAACATTCTTCCTGAAAGGTTTAGGTGATCAATGAAAAATCTTTATGATTTGAGGTCAAGCTAAGTAGAGAAAGGAGAAAAAGGACGACAGGTGCGTCCGAAAGGAATTGCGAGGCACTCAAAGATGCAAAAAGAGAAAAGAGAATTCTAGGCTTCGTCATTGGGTGGAACGCAAAAGTGGGAGAAACAGCCAATCACTGATGAGAGGGGCGGAGAATAGTAGGAGCCTCGAGACCGGCGTCTTTCTCTACCAGGAAATGAGAGGCGATAGGGGAGGACCCAGCGAACGAATGACGTTCACGTGCCTTGTAGCCACGTGATTCTCTGGCAGGGGCGGGGTTTGAACCTCTGCTGGTGCGAATCTGCAAGCGAGGGAGGGAAGCGAAGCTCTTGGCTCGGCTGGGAGAAAACTCGGATTCTAGCGAAGTTGTCACGGGGAGCGGCAGGTGATTTTGGAGACACAAAGACATGCACTGCGATGCAGCTGAAGGAGATGCGGACTGGGGTGCCATGTGAAAGGTTTATCCTGGTACTTGAAGTTGGGAGGCGTTAGAACGTGGGAAAGTACTACGCCAGGCGGAGGCGCTTCCCCGGTGCGCGCAACCGGGTGGGCGTTTTTAATTAAAGTCCATTGGAGTTGGGTGGCTAATAGATATAAATCAGTATATAAAAATAATTAAATTAAAGCCTGCTCTGTATAGCTTTATTGCTCTTATTGCAGCAGTGAGTTCCCACGAGACTTCTGTAATGCACAGATATATATATGCACCTGTACGATAAAATGCACGTGCAAATAGGAACTTTGTATTTTGATTAGATTGCTCCTCCCCATTGTGTATCGACTGACGTGAAGCTTTCTGTACTATGACAGGCCTCTACCCTTTTGTATGGCCTTTTTTGTAATGGTCAGATTACTGTTGGACTCACTGGCAGTACCAGACATGGCCTGAAGAAATCCGGACGATCCCTAGATCGCAGCAAACAGTGCTTCAAAATAGAAGGGCCTCTCTGCTGTCACCTTCTGGTCGTTTGGACTTTTGCAGGCCAGATCGGATAACCCTAGGATTTGCCTTCTTTCCGAAGGTGGATGAAATCCGTTTCTAATATCTGTGAACATCCTGCATTATATGAAACATGATACACAGTTTGGGATCTGCAGGGAAAATCTTAAATTTAGATTTTTAAAAATTAAAGGGACAGAGGGAAAGTAGTGGACAGTGGGAGAAAGAATATGAAACTAGAGTGAGTCAATATCCACTAATTTTTTTTAACATCACCTGTTTTCTACACATCTTTTAATGTTTCTTGTTTACTGTCCTTTTTTCAAAATAGGACTCAAATGTTTCTAAATTTCTGAAATAGGTATTAAATGAATGAAATAATTATGAACTTTTTGCAAATATCTTTGTGCCCCCTTATTCTCATTTTCCAAAGAAAACAAGTTCTTTCAAAGGTAATAATTCAGTGTTTTATTATGTTTTCCCCTTCCAGGTAGTTTGTGGCTAATTCACATGTCATCTGAAAGTGTAACAGTTACTGTTCGTCTTATTCGCTCTTTTGAGCATCGTAATTTCAGACCAGTTTTGTACCATGATGTTAACCTGGACCAGACTGTAAAAGAATTTATTGCGTTTGTGAAAAAGGGTAAGAAGCTGTGAGGGTTGACTTTGCTGCTCAGTATACTGAAAAACTAATTGGCAGAAGAGAGAAAAAAAAGTGTGGTGGGGGGAAATCTGCTGATAACTGTCTGACAGAAGAATTGGAGCATACACTTTTTTGCATGCAAAATGCATATTTAGGCAAGGCTGGAAAAACAAAACAGAACTAGAGTGCTGCAGTCAGCCAGCCAGGGACATCACTAATGTGTTGGTTGGGCCAGTTGTTTGATTTGATTATATATTATCTCCTTTGTTCTTATAGTGTTTCTGTTGCACCATGATTTGGAAAAGTCAAACTCAGTAAAGTTCTATATCTCCCAGAATATATGCTTTCTCAGGGATGATCCACCTCATCATCATGCAACGTTTTTTATAGTATATGTCAAGATATTAAGAGAGCCAGTTTGGTGCAGTGGTTAAGGGATAAGGCTAGAAACCGGGAGACAGTGAGTTTTAGTCCTGCCTTAGGCATGAAAGCCACCTGGCTGACTTTGGGCCAGTCTTTCTCTCTCTCAGCCCTAGGAAGGAGGTAAGGGCAAACCATTTCCGAAATCTTGCCAAGACAACTTCAGGGACTTATCCAGGCAGTTGCCAGGAGTCAACACTGTCTCAAAGGCACTTGAAAAGAAGCTGAAATATTAGATTGAGGATTCTCAATTATATAATTTCAGTCTATAATCCGTAACATCATTATGGTTATTACATCAATTGTCTGTGTTAACTGTGTTTACAGGTAGTCCTCTTTTAGTAATGCTAATTGGGGCTGGAAAGTCTCTCGTTAAACAACACAGTCATAAGTCAAAAAACCATATGACTGCAACAATTAGCAGTGGCAGTTCTGGCAGTCCTGGTTGCTGTTGTTAAGCAAGGACCGTGTGGGTTGTTAACTGAGGGTCTCATGTGACTACAACTTGCGACTTCCTGCTGGTTTCCCCATTGACTTTGCTTGTTGGAAGCTGGCAGGGAAGGTTACAACTTGTGACTATGTGACTCTGGGACACTGCGACTGCCATAAATGCATAAGTACCACTTGTTCAGTGTCTGTTGTAAGTTCACATGGTCGCTGAATAAGTAGTTGTTAAATGAGGACCACTTGTATTGGATGTCAAAGTTAAAAAAAACACCTGTAAATGGCAAAAAACTTCCACATTGCTGCCATGAAAACTCTGTGGAGTATCCATGTAGTCAGAAGAAGTCAAGCCTGCCTCAAAGATGTCTTTACCAAAATGTGAAGATCCTCATCAGTCAGATTCAATCCCTGATGACTATGTGGATACAACTATGCAGTTTTCTTGACATGCGAGTGTTTTGTCACTGCCTTCTGGGGGATGTTTTTTTTAATATAAATTTTATTTATTTATAAATTAATAAAATAAATTAATAAAATAAATAAAAAATAAAA